TATGTTAATTTGTTGATAAGTTCCAAAAAATTGTTTTATTACTTTTTAAAGTCAGTGACCGCAGGCGCCTTTAGGGCTTTGGCGCCGTCGTGCGCTGCACGACCTTGCCCATATGGACGGCGCGTCCCTGATCTGCAAGTTAAGTCAGTAAAATGACTTAAATCAATATAATTAATTACCCTCAAGTCAAGACAACCAGAATTCAATTTTAAGTAGGTACCTATTTTTTAATGTTAACATACATTTTCTTATATTACCGATTGGGCGATTGGTCGATTTCCTTATATTAACTACATTATTAATTTATTGTTGGTACAAATGAGACTAAAACCACATAAAATAAAACAGTTAATTTTCAGAATAACTGCAAACACAAAAATATATATTTCTTATAAAATTTTACCGATTTTGTAGTACTTTATATTAGTAGTGGGAACTATCGAATGAATACTATCGAAACATTCGATAGTTGCAATTCATTCGAATAATTCGATAGTTTTAGTAAGAAAACATTCGTTGAAAACTATTCGAATAAAAATTATCGAATAGATCCGTCAGCTGCCTTGAAATATTGTATTCTAGTAATTCGGCAGCAAAAACCATTCATTTATAAAATTCATTCAATTATGAAATTCATTTATTCGTCAGGATCGATTATAATAAAATATTAACTGAATTTTAGTTGTCGCCCGGCAACGTAGGTTTCTTTCCGAGAAACCCGACAGCGGTCGGTGGCAATGCAATGAAAGAAGCCGGCATCTTCGATTTTTTGCGGAGTCAGATATAGATAAGGACACATTATTTTTTTTTATTGAGGTGCTAGTATTTACACAGAAAATACATTATGAAGGGCGCTGTTGCCATATTTTGGTATTAGTTGATATTAGCAAAGAATATTATTGTTTGGCTTTAGTTAGTTAGGGTTAGTATGTCTATATATTCTGCATTTTTTTATTAATATTCTGTTGTTACACTGCAATAATACTTGTTATTTTGGATGTAGGAAAATGATTTTTAATGTTTTTAGCAAAGACTGGTTTAATAAATAATAATAACAGTAATAATTTGTTATACCTATTAACAACAAAATTTAAAATCATTTAATATAAAAATTTTTTTTAAGTAGTAGCAAAATATAAACAACAAATTAGATGTCAAAATTATTTATATTAGATCCTATTTAAAAATAATATTGTCTCTAAATTTTTTGTGTGTAGCAACGTTGGTTTATTAAATAATAATAATTACAGAACTAATTTGTTATATTAACAACAAATTTTAAAATCATGAAATATAAACATTTATTAATTTTCTAAGCATGCAGTGTGATGGAAGGAAAATATAAATAAAAATTAGAAATCAAAATTATTTATATTAGGTGCTTTATATTACTATTTAAAAATTATATTTACTTTTACTGGCATTTACTTTAAAAAATAAATGAAATATTTCTTTGCAAAAAACTACATGTAAGAGAATTAGCATAAACAAAATACAAACATCGTTAACTTTTTTTTTTAAATTGGCACGTGTAAAACTTTCATTTTAATTTTCTCACCCCATAGTTTGAGTTCGATAACCATTTACTTAGCCACATTACTTAAATATGATTATTAAGTTCAACTAATTCATATTATTAAAACATCTAAAATACAAATATGTATTTTTAAAATTAATTGTAAGTTCATCTCATCTCTCTTAAAAATTGCTACTTCTCAAAATTTCCCATTAAAAAATAGACCATATACCATATAAAATTAAATAATTGAAAGATCGGACTACGGAAAACCACACAAATTTTCGGAAAAATTTTGACCACCTGCACATGCACACAATCGTCAATAAATAAAATTAAAAAATAACTATTATTTTAGTATGTTAACTAATTTAATAAACGCAAAAATAGCACAGTATTTATACGGCGAAGTTATAAAAATTTGGAAGAACTAATAATGCACTGACGCATACAAAAATCAAACGAATACTAAATTTCATTTATCAAAAGCATTCGATAGTCGTGGCTCAACGATAACCATTTAGTCGCACGGCGAGGTTGTCACATATGCTTTAGTATAGAAATGAATGAATGATTTTATTCGAATAAAACCATTCGATAGTTGAAATCATTCATTCATTAACCATTCGATAGTCTAATTCATTCGATAGTTCCCATCGCTACTTTATATACCTATATCCATTAGAGTTTAGACATGTTTAGATGTCATCGAATACATGTCTAACATGTCTGACACCCTGTATTTTTTTAAATAAATAACAGCAGATTCAAATGCTCTTTCAAACTATATTAGGGTTTCCTATACCTCTCCAACTCAGATTTTAAATAAAATGGCAATCAAGATGGCTGGTGTCGCCATGGCAATTTTCTAGTGACAGTAACTATTTTCAAAATCGACATTAGTTTTATCTATTATTATGTAGATTTATAACAGTTTACTTAAATTTACCCACAATAGTTTAATAAGTAAGTATTCATTATTTTATCAAAAAAATAAAGCAGAACGAAGTAATACGTGAATAGTGATTTTATTTTGTGAGGAAAATTACTTCTTAGCTTCAAGGGCTTATGCTTAAAGATATCCAAATATGAATCTTTCTGATAAGTATTCCTGTGAAAAACTACTTGTCCTATTTAATAGAGCTGGTAGTGTGGTTTATAAAAAATCTATTAGGCACAAACCTATCGTTGGAAGTGAAGAAAATTAATTTGCCATAATTGGTCCTTCTGAAAGAACTACTTCGTTTTTATTGATGGAATAATAAATATTATTTATTAAACTATTGTAGGTAAATTAAAAGTAAACTGGTATAAATTTAAATAAAGTCTATACACTAATTTCGATTTTGAAAATAGGTACGAACTCTCACTAGAAACTTGCCATGATGATATTAGCCCTCTTGGTTGCCATTTTATTGAAAAATTGCTCTTTATTCAAAATCTGAGCTAGATAGGTATAGGAAACCCTAATATAATTTGAAAGAGCATTTGAATCTGCTTCGATTATTTAAAAAAAATAAAGGGTGTTGTATTTAAAATAACCAAGTTTTTATGTAAAATAAATATTTAAAATAGACCAGCAATTTTTGATACCCCTGTATATATTAAATGAGGCAATCAAATTTTTCAGTAAAGTTTATCTCTCTGGCTTAAAAGTTAGCACAAGAATTAATTCTGAAAAGCAATGTACAGGGTGTTAACAATTTTTTTATTATAGCATGCATATTTAAAACTATTTAAATATCTTAAAAACCAAAGCTTGTAAACATTATTGATTGACATTATTACTTGATTAAATAATCCTTATAATAAATTCCCTATTTTATGTCCAAGGATCCAAATATGAAATAAAATACCGGGTGTTCCATAAGAAAAAAATATAACTTTGGTGTGGATCTTAGTTCTGACATATCCTGTACATTTCAAAATAATTTTAAATTGTCCATATTGCCTTCCTACATATACTTACAAGATATTTTGTTTCTATATCTTTCCGTTTTCGTATAATCAATCGAGGCGAACGAGGTGCGCCACCCTGTATATTAGCTCTTTACTTATATACCCCGATACTGTAGTTGTTTGAACATTGAATATGTACGTACTCCAAAAAGAATTCTAGTTGAATACTCGATCTGTCGATTGTCTAGTGTGTAGTATCGTTGATTGAAGAAATAAGATGCGCCTAGTGAGTAGTATAGTAAAATAATACAATATGAATAGATATTTACTAGCGTGTAACCGCGACTTCGTTCACGTCGAATTAATCATTTGTAATTTTGCAATAAAGCAAAGCAAGAATTTCCATTAACATACAAACTGGATAAAATTTTCTCATATTTGAAATGAGAATGAATTCTCACACATGAGAAAAAACAATATGGCGATATTATTATATAACTTGGTAAAATTTGAGGAGTAGTTTCATCTCGTTGGAATTTGACTTTCGAAAAACCCATTTGCCAAAATTAAGCTTTTTACGTCAAGCAGTTTAAGATGAATCGTGGTTAATCAATTACCCTACTTTTTGGAACACCCTGTATGATTTTTTAAAAAATTTAAAAATATGTAAAAAAAAACAAAATAAATTATGCGTGTCCAAGCGTTTTCCCGAAGGACTAACCATTTTTTAAATAACAAATATTGTAATATTTGAGGGGCGTTTTCACCCTCTTGGAATTTGAGATTCGGGAAACCCCTCCTTATCGAATCTTTACCTTACCACAGTCAACCCGTTTGCCAAAAATCAGCTTTAAACGTCAAGCAGTTTAAGCAGAATCGTGATTACTCAATGGTCATATTTTATGAAACACCCTGTATAAATTTTTCAAAAATCTTAAAATATGTAAAACAACAAAATAAAATACACATTTTTTTCGAAAAACTCACCGGTTTTAAAATAAAAAATATTCTAATATTTGAGGGGTGGTTTCACCCCCTTAGAATTCGAGTTTCGAAAAGTCCCTTCTTATCGAACCTCTACACCTTAAAGTCAATCTGTTTTCCAAAAATCAGTTTTTTACGTCGAGCGCTTTAAGCAGGATCGTGATGACCAGATTTTTCGAAACACCCTGTACACATTTTTAAAAAATCTTAAAATATGTAAAAAAACAAAATAAAATATACGTGTTTAAGCTTTTTTTCGGAAACTTGACCGTTTTTTAAATAAAAAATATTGTAATATTTGAGAGGTTGTTTCACCCCCTTGGAACTGGAATTTCGAAAAATCCCTTCTTATCGAACCTCTACACCCTAAAATCAACCTGTATGCCAAAATTGAGCTTCGTACGTTGAGTTGTTTGAGCAGGATCGTGATTAATCAGTGAGTCAGTCACTTAAGGATTTTATATATTAGTATAGATTAGTATTTACCTGATCAAAAGAGAACACAGCTTACATTCAAATCCAAATACTATGTAACATAACTACAGAATTATTTAACATATTTTTAACGATAACTACAAAAGAAAAATAAACAAAACTGAAGACTAATTTGTTCTTAAAATTAATTTTGTCAAATTATGTGAAGTAGCGAAAATAAATGGTTCATGACTTATGCTGGTTTTAAATCTATTTCAGAACTTATAGCTAGGCTTTGGTCAGAGATTACTTCGAGTCGTCCAGGATTTATTAATGTTGCTTCAGCGTCTGTCACAATTTGGAAGATCTTCCGTTTGACGTGCAGCTGTAACGGCGGTGGAAGCGTTTTCACCGTTGCGGCGATCGAAGAAAAAAATACATCCAAGAGGTCTAAGCTTGACTGCTGCGATACCTGCTGCTGGTAGTTAAATGGCGCCTGCACTGGTGGCGGCTGTACATATCCACGTTGTCGATTCAACTTGCTACAGCCATGAGGACTTGGTAAATCTGATAATTTTAATTCTTTTTTCAAATGAGGATTTAGGAATGTCAGTTCTTTCTCGAATCTAATCGGCCAGATCTTTTTCATGCCTCGATGAATTCTAATTGTCCTCTTCTTTCTGGATTTTCTATAGTTAAGCCGTAGTTTTATCCAAGCTTCTTTACAGAATTCACCTAAAACAAAGATTTGAATACATTCGAGTTGCTCTGTTTACTAGAAGATTTGGCCTGCGGATTTGGCCTGCAGATTTAATCCTCGGACTTGGCCTGTCACGTACCGAAACTGTCGTACTTTGCCCATCATGGCTTAGATTTGGTCTGCCAATTAGAAATTTGCCCGATTAAATATTCTCTTTTCGGACAAAATTCGACGTTTCATAGCAGCTCTTATATTGATCCTATCAAACAAATATCATATAAACTTTTAGTTGCGTCATCGAGGGTGCGATTTTTAAATTAAGTGTTGCCAACCATGGCCAAATTCGCTGCCGTGTTGTCTAAGTGGAATTTAAATTTCCCGCTAGGGATTAAGATGGCAGCTCTGCTGTAAAAATGTCAAGTTGCCGCATTTATTTATTTATTTCCTGACATTGTCATTCATTTTGACACTTTATTTGAGTTTTTTGTTATAAGGTTTGTTCCAACCCCGCTGAGAACCGTTCAGGAACGGTTCCGTTCATGCGGATAGGGCTAAAAATGTTCCAACCTTGATGGGGATAGTTCTCCAACGATTCTCTTTGCGTTCCAACCAATTTTCTGATCGTTATTAGAACGGTTTCGGAACCGTAATTTCGATACTTGCCAACTGTTTGTACTGACATGCGCAGTTAGTAAATTTTATCAGCTGATTGACATTTGGGCCGGAGCGTTTGCTTGTTTTGTGGATTTGTTTGGAGTTTAATGGGTTTTAGTGTTTAGAATTCTTTCTATACTTAGAAATTGTCTATTTAATTTAGCTAGGGTTTAACATTTTACAGTTCACACTTTTCAACAAAAAAAAGAGAATAGTAAACCAAGTGAAACTTACCAAAATTATGGTCTGTGTCCATTATTTATTAATGTAAGTAGTAATTTACCACTGTTCTATACAATTAATAAGGATATCTGTGAAGAATATTATTAAGGTTTGTTTTGTTTACATCTTACATCAAACAAAAAGTGAGGATATTTTAACCGGTGTTTTGACAAGACAAATTAAAAACGGTTCCGAAACTGTTCCAACCGATTGTGAATCTAGAATCGTTCAAAAACAGTGCCGAGTTAACGCATGCGGATAAGACTAGTCCCAATGATTTCAGAACGGTTCCAGAACCGTTCTAAAACTTGGGGTTGGAACAAAGCTTATGAGTTTTTGATTTAAATAAAAGTGTTGTGATACTTTAAGCTTAAAAATGTTTACTAGCAGACCCTGCAGTCGAACATTGTCTTTTTAGTGCGAAGTGTACCAAATATAGCCGTAAAAAACTCATTGCAACTTTATTAGAATATTACGACAAAGCGGTAGTAATGGCCCTTTTATCCATAAGTGCTGTTAAGAAGGTGCTTTTTGTTGATATAAATAATAACTGTTTATATATTTATAATTAATTTATTTTTGTTTTCTAAAACATTTTGATTAGAAGAAAATACATATATAAAAGTGGGCAACGCTGTGCCGGTCAAGCATAATCACGTGACTAAAAGTTTATTTGGTATGAACTGTAGATAAAGATCTGCGTGCTTCATGGACTTCGAAAAGGCCTTTGATTCTTTGATAGAGTCCAGCATGACAAACTCATCTCGATTTTACAGGAATCAGGAATAGACGATAGAGATACAGATATTATAGCAAAACTTTATTGTCAACAAAAGGCCGTGGTTCGAGTCGAAAACGAAACTTCAGAAAAGTTTAGTGTAAGGAGGGGAGTGCGACAGGGCTGTATATTGTCGTTTCTGCTATTCAATGTGTACTCGGAACATCTATTTAGAGAGGCACTGGATGGCACAGAGGATGGGCTGGTAATAAACGGAGAAATAATAAACAATTTGAGATATGCAGATGATACCGTTCTGTTGGCCGATACCGCTGAAGGTCTCCAAAGGCTTATAGATCATGTGGCGAATATATGCAGCAGATACGGAATGAGGATGAACTGCAAGAAGACTCAAACGTTGATCATTATCAAGAACTACATCAACAACTTTTAGTTCACTGCTAACAACATCGTTCTCCAAACGGCCGAGACAGTTGCACACCTGGGCTGCACCCTGACTAAAGACTGGGACCACTCTCGCGAAATAAAACACCGAATCGAAATCGCGAGAGGGACATTTAACAAAATGCGAAATATACTTTGCAACCTGTCCCTCAACGTCCGCACTAGAATCAGAATCCTGAGATGCTACGTGCTCTCAACCCTTCTGTATGGAGCAGAGGCGTGGACCCTTAAGCCGCGTACTCACTGGCGAACTGCAACTGTAACTGCAACCGTTGCTGCAACAGAATTGTCGCGAAGGTATGCACGTTTCTCTTCTCGCGAACCTCTCGAGCCGCAGTGTTTGCACAGAACTCGCGAGCACAATATCTCATTAAAGAACCAATTACTGTCCAAGCATCTGCTTTTAAATGTCTCTTGTAATAGTCTTTATTTTTGGATCCCATATTATAGGCATGTTTTTGTACTTTTCAATTAGCGCCAAAACCTTTTCTTCGTCCCACGTACTCATATTTTTGTTGGTGGCGAGACTATTGGACGTACACACTGGCGAACGTCCCAAATAGACGTCCACGAACCAACCGAGAATCTCTTCGTGTTCGTCCTGAAAACCGACAACTGGCGGCTCGCTGCGAGCTGTTCGAAGCTGGCTCGCGAACCTGGGCTCGCGAACCTGGTTCGCAACGCGTCCACACTATAGAATTTGGTTACCGCAACGGTTGCAGTTACAGTTGCAGTTCGCCAGTAAGTACGCGGCTTTACAGACGCATCATGCAAGCATGTGGAGGCATTTGAGATGTGGTGCTATCGGCGCATGCTTAGGATTTCGTGGGTGCATCGCGTGTCAAATTAAACTGTACTACACCGCATCAACAAGGAGTTGGAGTTTCTGTTGAATGTCAAACGCAGAAAACTGGAATACTTCGGACACATCATGCGGAACGAGAAATACCGCCTACTCCAACTCATACTGCAAGGGAAAATAGAAGACAGAAGATCAGCGGGACGCAGACGAATATCGTGGCTGCGAAATCTACGAACATGGACCGGAATGACATCAACAGCTTTGTTCAGAACGGCAGTGAACAAAGTAATATGGATCAATGTGATAGCCAACATCCAAAGAGGATAGGGACTTTAAGAGGAAGTAGATAAATGTTTATGGAATAAAAACTGCCCTATTCTCGCGTAGAGAGATAAAACGTTACAAGTATGCGGACTTATAGTTTTTTAGATCAAACTAATCGGACAGATAAAGTATGTGGAGGTGGCATGTGACAGGCTTGGACCGCTATAGACTTGGCCTCCAAACAAAAACAAATATTTTATCTACAGGCCAAATCTTCAGCTTGGTCTTTCGATTTTTGGCTTATTATAAAGTACAAACGATAGAATTAATTAGAAAAAGTAAGTAATTGAGCGCAATCTAATAAAGAGAAAAGTTATTGTTATGACAAATGACTAAAGATCTTCGAAATTGTTTGTAGTTTTATGTAGCAGCAGAAAAACTCAATGAATATTTCTTGAAATTAGTGAAGGAAGCAAAATTTGGAAATTAACATAGTTTGACATCTAGATCATATATTATACTTAGGTGGATAAGTAAATCACTATGGAAACTGTCGCAAACATATCAACGACTTCCATTTATCTTCTTTTTTTGTTGCAGACGCGGTGCTTCTACTTATCTATCCTTGTCGAGGACCTATCAAGCACGCGCCAAATTTAAACATTAGTGTTAAAAACTTAATTTGTAAAATACATATATTTGAACAATAGATTGAATGTTTACTGTCACAAAAATTAAATTATATAAAAAATACATTTAGCCACTCCGTACGAATATCAATATTCTTAGGAAATCTAACCAGAAAGTACCTATGCATGTGGTTTAATATAAATAAAAAAACAACTGAATACTTTACTTGCCTATCAAAAGATAATTCGGGGACCTTTATATTAGAACTTCAACACACATATAATTGCGCAAACTTAAAATTAACTTCTCACTGAACACACTTGCATCCTTGGCTATATAAAAGCGGTCGATAAAAGAGTAATTAATACAATTTTTAAAATAAAAAACGCAAAAAAACAAGCGTCGTTACACAATGAAAATATGATTATGACAAGAATATGACAATATGATGACAATGAAAAGTTGGTTTTCATAACAATGTATATTTGTACTTTCTAAACCGTATAAAATTGTGATTATTTTGGAAATACGTGCAATTTGTAATGCGCATGCGCAAAGTAAGGTTCTCGGACAAGACAAACCTAATAAAGAAGGTTTGAAAATGGCATGTCGTGATGTTGGAAACATATTTTTGTTGCTAAACTTATGGCGTTGATTTATCCACGTAAATATTATGTGATCTAGGGTTTGACATAATGTATTTTGCTGTATATAAACTACAAACCATGAAATTAATTGTGGTAAATTCAATTTTCTAGATACAAAAATTTTCGTAAAAAAATTCTAAATTCAATACTAAGACGCGCACTGAATCGACTCCGGCCACTGTCCGGGTAAGTGCTGTTTCACAGGGAACGGACAGACCGCGCGGACCGTCCTCGCTAATCGTGTGTATTTTTAAGGCCCGACGGAGTACTAAATCATCCGAACGGGTCATAAAATACTGTCGCTTTTCGCTTTGAGTCAGTTCAAATCAAATATAAAACACTAGAATCGCCGCACTAGAGTATCTTCACAAAACGTGCTTGCAATATCCCACCGTACAGAGCTGAATACATAGCAGAAAATACGGTGTCATATTTTTTGAGCCGAACGGTTTGGAGAAA